CAATGTAGCACAACAGTTCCACTCAAGCAAAGTTTGAATACAAAGTTTCCAAACAAAAGGGAAACTTAACAAAACAATGATAATTCGTTGAGCACATGGGCTGACACGCATGTGCCCAACGCAACAAAAATACAAACTCATAGAGCAGAACGCATTCCCAGGCTTCACCTCCTGGCAGTCCCCAACTAGAACCTTCCCATCAGGTATCCTGCTCTCCTGTTTCCTACGCCTTGCAAAGCTCCTGTATCATATTGGCAGCTGCAGAGCACCTCGCCTCGAGTGGGGTCTCGTGAGGGCCTCCATAGATGGTCATCTTAGCATCAGGGCATCTAAGACGTACACTGGCGGTGTACGTTCCTGAAAAGATAGGAGACCGGCTAGTGAACAAGTGCTCGAGACAATGCGTGAGAGCTATGAAGGGAGAAGATGATAATAAATTAAACAGCAGTTGCTGGCCATTGCTAGCTGGAGACATTTTCTGTTCTTGACAAGTAACCATGGACAATATGTGGTAAACAAGCAAGTGGTTTATTGATTAGATACGCTGAAAACTCTTTCGTCCTATAAGCATGGTTAGCATAGTACATTATGTATGCTATCATCTCAATGCATGAAACAGACCATTATCTGTAGGAATTGAATTCAGTAAACGATAATCAGAAGGTAAGAGGCACAAAACCAATCCTTCTGAAAATCTAAGTTCTTATGCTCTTATGCCTGTATGGTCCAGCGACCCAACGCTTGTCTATGCAGAAACTTAAGTGATAGAGGTAAGTATTTATATATACCATCTGTTATTGAAGGTAATACTGTGTATCTTGGAGATATACAGTAGCAATCACGGCAGATCTCATCAAGCTCCTGCAAAGACAAGTGTCAAAGGTACAGGTGGCATTTGAAATTCAAATGCATCAGTTCACCTTGAGGTTTCTTACCACGTATTTCCTGAATTCAAGGCTCGCCCTCAGTGTCTTCTTCTTTGGGCGACCGCCATCTCCAGAGCAAGACGAAGTCGCAACTTCCATCTTTGGGAAACCATTCTTATACTTGTCTGACAACACTTTTGCTGTCATCAGCCCTTCTGCATAAGGTTTAAAGATGATGAGTACTAGAAATGTGGAACTGATATAGAAACAAGTTCTTGTCAAAAACTTGCTGCTCTTCGGCCAGCACTCTTTAGCACAGGACATTATGTAATGCATGGCTCCCAGCAAAACATGCCCAGAATGCTTGCCACTAAATCTACAGCATGATTATCAATTTAGCAATGTTTAGATGTGAAAAAGGGTGGAATACCATTCCGGATTCTCTGAATGTCCATATCACACTCAGCACTTTGGTTTTGAAGTATGTGTTCCTTGCAGAGCTGAAACAAAACAGAAGATGGGATGAATTCACCTCACTTCTAAACTAGAGGCAAAATTATACGGAACAAGCATACATTTTTCTGAAATGAAAAAGAAGGCATGTAACACACAATATCATCCCGTATTTTCTGAATTAGCCGCAGTGATTCCACCAGATCACTCACGTTTTCGGAGAAAGTGCCTTCAAGTAAATTTGGACACACATGGCACATGGGTCAAGAAGTTGGAGGATCAATAGACAATAATAAGAAAAACAAGCTATCTTGGGTAGGTTATCCCCACCTGACTTTTCCAATACTTCCATATTCTGCCATGGCAAAGCACCGTTCATCGTTGTAGGGACAGTTAGTGTTTCTGGCCATTTCCTAAAACATGTCAAGTGTTTATCTTGACTCTCATACCCAACAAGTTCCATTGTCCTTTAACACATAAAAGCTGAGAACAATAATATTTACCTGTGCAGGAGTTCAGACAAAACATCTTTATATGGAAGAATGTGATAGTACTCAACAAGAGAAGTTATTTTCAGGAATTGATGATTTGCAAAGACCGGACCAGTCATACTGTCAAAGAGGAAAAACTGAAAAATGTCAGTATTATTGAGAAATAGGCAAATAGCTAAAGCTAACAATGATAGTGATGACTGAAAAAAGTGACTCTGGAAAATTCATTGAAAAATCAACCCAAATCTGAAACTTTAACTGAATCAGACCCTTTTTCCAGTGCCAGCCACCAAGTTGAACTTGGCTAGGTTAGTGCCATGTGTCTTGGCACTGAGAAAAACTTTGGCGCTGACTATAAATCATCATTTTTTCCATGAAGACACTTAGTTTTTCTCAACGCCATGATGCATGGCCCTGACCTAATCAAGTTCTGCGCCGGAACAGATGGTACTGAGCAAAAGGGTCAAATTTTGTTAAACTTTAGGACTAGTGTTATTCTAGCTGAACTATAAACATGGGGTCAATTTTATCAATTCTCACACAATCATTTATCTAATAATCATGATCGAAGAAACATCACATACACATGGAATGCAGTACCATCAGAGGGGGAAAAGGGTGAGAGCTTTACCGAGGCAACTTATAAGGGCATGTTATCCAACAAAGGTCTTATTAACAAAACAGCAAATTCTAAAGAGCATCGCTTTACATTAAGATGTACAATTCACTGGTCTTGTTTAATAAACTTAGTGGTTAATCGAAAGGGATGCAACCTAAAATTATAGAACTATCTAGTACTAGGTAAAAAGCAAACCTGGTAATCAAGTCTTCTAAAGAAATTTCCACAAGGTTGCCTTTCATTGCTTGCTCATACTCCACAAGGAACAACTTGGTAGTAGTCCTTTCTTTACTCAGTGAGTATGCCAAAAAAGTTTCGATAACACGCAAGTTTAAGGCCTTCATACCTATTAAGGCCAGACATTTACCATAATGAGCAGCAAACGATGCACAGATGGATCAAGCAGAAAATGCATGTACTATTAACAAAATCAAGTTCATAAATTAAATAGCGTTCTCTAACAGACAATGAGATCATGTACAAGTGGAATTGATCGTTATAGTGTCCCAAGTCATTTCCAACCTGCTACTAGACGTAACTATATCAAAGGTTCAGTGACTAGAAGCACACTAGCTTGTACACAACTAAAACAGGGTGAGAGGTACACTTTTGGGTACATTTGGGACCATGCACTTGTTCTTGTTTTCTCTAAGGCAAAATTTTAATTCAAACTCTCTTTTCTTTAGATTCTTTAGCAGTTCGAATTTATGAAGATTTGCAACAGCAACTCATGTAAACACGTATGTGCAAAATTACCATAAACTCTGATTCACATTCTTCTTCTGGTTTAGGTCAGTATGTTTGATGTCATAAAAATTCTAGTGGGTAACACTAATAATCAACTATTCCAAGTAAAGAAACCGTGGAGACATGGCTGTGTAGACACAAAGACTGTCTATTTATATCTCGATTCGAAACTTAATAAATCTGTCGGTTTAATATGGGGTGGGCAAAAAAGGAAATGGCAGATATGTATAAATAAAATTAAGGGCTGTAATTATAAAATCTGACCTGTTCTACGCTCCACTTCTGACAATGCTAGTTCCTGAGGCGTATCTGCTCCGTCCACCGCAACACAGGTTCGATTATTCGCCGATTTCTGGACTGCTATCCTATTGCTACTGGATGCTTCATCAAATTCCTTCTCTATGAATGACCAGACACCCTGGGTCTGTCCAATCAAACATTTTTTTTTCTTTCCGGGTCGAGAAGAAGCACAGCAACTTTCGAGATTGGCCACGCTGCCATGTCTGGAGAATCTTTGCTCGCGTCGAGTCCTTCAGCGATCTCACAAGCCTGTACTGCTGCTTTGTCACAAGTATATAACCTCCCACTGTTCTCAGGCTTGCTCTCACGCTTACAGAGCATACTCAAGTGCGTGAGCAAATCTTCTTCAACAGGAAGCGACTTGAGGAAGAGTTTTGGTGGTAATAATTGTACATAATGACAGCCTTGTGGATCTGCAAAACCACATGCCAGTGTGAATAGTTAGCAGCTGTCACATGCCTTGTATTTATTTATTTTTTAAACAATATCTGGATGTGATTAAACATATTTTAAAAAAGTAGACCCTCTGTTCACAAATATTATATGTTTTGACTTTTTTGAATCGAATGTATATAGTCTAATATTGAAATGTCCAAAACATCTTATACTTTTGAACGGAGGGAGCAATATACATGAACAAAATGTGACGAGCATTTCATGGACACACAATTAAGACAATTAACATTGCTAAATGGACATGGGGAAAATGTAAACATGACCACCTGAGACGGCTGACAGTGGCTGCAACACAACAAAGCAGGCTAGCCCTAGTCGCGTACGGGATGCTATGCTGCGGGTGGCATGCGTATCAACGCCTCCAGCCATCCTCCGACGCGACGCACCTCCGCCACCGTGGACCGCGAGGTGAGGCGAGATCCACCGCCGCCGCCACCATCTTCACGGTCTACACAACAGTACGCGCGTGGCTGTGGGCCAACCGGCGCCTGCAGGCGTTTCTAACTGGGCTGGCCCGTTCCGCCCTTGTTTCCTGTTTTCTTGGAACGCAAAAAGCCACCACAACAACCACCCACGAGTTACTAGTTACCTCGTTTACCTCTTTTGTACTTTATTCTTCAGTTTGGTTTCTTTTTTATTCTTTTTATTTTTTCTTTATTCTCATCTTTCTTTGTTTTCTTTAGTGCGTGTTTTTTTAAATTTGATGAACCTTTTCAGAATCGATTTAACTTATTTACAAATTTGATGATTTTTTTTCAAATTCGATGAACGTTTTTCAAATTTGATGTACTTTTTTCCAAATCGATGAACTTTTTCCAAAATCTATAAACTTTTTCCAAATTCGATGAACTTTTCGTCAAAATCGATGAACTTTTTCAAAAATGATGAACTGTTTTTAAACATTGATGAAATTGTTTTCAAATTCGTGAATTTTTTTCTCAAATTAGTGAACTTTATTCAGTTTTCTTGAACTTTTTTCTCAAATTATTGAACTTTATTCAGTTTTCTTGAACTATTTTTGTTTCGCGTGAACTTTTTCAAATCTTTGAACTTTTTTCAAACTCACTAACTTTTCTTAAATTACTGATCTTTTGAAATTTCGTGAACATTTTTCATTGTTAGTGAACTTTTTTAATACACGAGCCTTTTATTTTTTCAAAAAAAATCGCAAACTTGTTTTTAATCTGTGAATTTTTATTTTCTGTAACTACGCAGCCCATAATATCCTCAAAAGCTATCGAGGTACAACTAACCACAAGTACCACGCAGCTCCAATGGTTATCCGAGTGGCTTTAGAATGCAAAGTCGTGTGTTCGAATCCTTGGCGCTGCAACTATTTTTACGGTTTTTTGTCGGCTGGAGTTACGCTTTCGTGGGCCGGCCCAGCAAGGCGCTGCTGCAAGCGCCAGTTCGTTAGATGGCGCTGAAGGCGCGGAGTAGGAGCTCCCGTGGCTGTGTGCGCTCTGCTGCCTCGGCATCGCACGGGCCGTCGTGATTCTCGATTCAGACCGACCGGTGGGGCCTCCAATCTAGGCCCATCACCCGAAACCATCCATTAAGCCCACCACCTCGCCCTCTTCCTCCTCCACACAACACACAGCACCGGCGGCGTGTACGCGGATGATACACGGGCTAGGGATGAGGACACGCTACGCCCGACGAGCAAGATGACGGGAAATCGATCAAGATCTACCGGCGCCGACATGTCTCCGTACCAAAATCTACCATTACAAACGCGAAAGCGAGGACCCACCGGACGGCCTAGCGCTGGCTAGTTAGCTTATGTACTGGAGGCTCGCCACCTTCCTCCAGACGAGGCCTTCAACCAACCAGTCCACCACCACCATTAAACCAGCCCACCACCTTCTTCCTCCTCCGATCTACAGCGCCTCCCATGCATCCCCACTTCCTACCCATCAGACTTTACACGAGAAACACGGTTTTACTTCCGTGAGAGGTACAATTGTGCCTCTTGGAAAATGAAAAAAAAAACGCGTTTTCTTTTTCTTCTATGAGAGGCATGGATTTGCTTCCGCGAGAGGCACGGTTGTACCTCTCAAAAAAACGTCTTTCCAAAACGAAAAATTATACTCCCGGTTCGGTTTTATCTGTTTTTTTGTGGAAAAAAGTTGATCAAAACCTATCAACACGCGATCTAGTTTTGAAGATCTCGACACGAGGAATCCAACAGTGAAAACAGTTCGATATTTGGACGCGTGGTTTAAGAGATAAAACATTTTAAATAAATGGATCTACGAAAAAGGAAAAAACTCCTATATAAGCCGACGTACTTCTTCCTCCTATATAAGCCTACGTACCCCGAAAACATTCAGGGAGCGAACGAAACACAATTTCCACCACTGTAACCTTCTGTATCCGCGAGATCTCA